GGGGGGGGGGGGGGATTAAGAGCAAGATAAGGCTTGTGGAGGTCAGTTGAAGATCATATTTGCGTCACAAAATGGCAATAAAATACACACTAGGACAAACTATTGGTGCTCCTGATTTTTAATTGTGTGATGTTTTCCCAGACCATTCAGTGAAAGAGGCAGCTGATCAGTCCTGATATCAGTTTCTTTATTCCTCAACCTCACATTGTGTTTAGTCAATAAGCGCGAGATGGTCACATTGGTCTGACAGCAACTGTGGCTCAGACATTGTCTCTCGCCCACTCGTCTTGATAGATCAGAGCCGCGGGCAACATGGAAAAGAAAAAAAAAAACCAACCCTGAAACAACAGAGAAAACAAAGATGAATGTTTTTGTTTTTTACTGTATGTGATGGATGTGCCACTTCTCTCAAAGCAGATTCTCCTGTCTCTCTTTTTAATAGGGGGCCTGGATACTGTTGCAGAATCCTGTTGCTGTGTTGAAGCTGAATCTGCCCCTGCACTGAACAGGAAGAGCCTGGACTAGTACTCGCCCACCGTCTTACCCAGAAAAGTGGCTTCGCAAACTGCATTTTTTGGTTGAGAGAACATGCAAAGATTCTTTTCTCGATGTGTGCACCCACCTTTCTGCCCCATCTTTAATGCATTTCTGACAGTGTTTTTGTACCAGCTGCATAATAACAGTCAGTTTTAACATCGGTAACATTTTCAAGATGGATTACCTGATCTCAGCGCAGTAGGTTTCGTCTGCATTCATTACACTTCTCTCTCTGTGTTTCTGCATGCATCCTGTAGTTTTTCTTGATGCTTTGCCAACGTAATGGCTCATTTGCTCGAGGCATCATCATTCAAATTATGTTTTGACAAGACAGAGTTAATGTGATCATTACTCTAATGGCTTTTATGAGAATGCCCTGATGTCCCTTTTCTCCTGTAGTGAACTTAAATAGTGTGTTTCAGTCTACCTTTGCTGCACAGGACAGTGTCGGGCATCAGCTAAGTGTTGGAACAGATGGTTCCTGTGTTGAACAATATGACCCCAGCTCCTCTGACACAGAACTGTTCCAACTGCAGCCAGGTACTAGTCCCTGAACTCAACGTAGTTAAGGCTGTGGTGTTGGGCCTGGTGCTTGGTATATTAATTGTGTTTGGAATTGTGGGAAACATCCTGGTAATCCTCTCAGTGGTTTGCCATCGACACCTGCGGACAGTCACACATTATTTTATAGTTAATCTGGCGGTGGCAGACTTGCTGCTGAGCTCCACTGTACTACCCTTCTCTGCCATTTTTGAGATTGTGGATCGTTGGGTGTTTGGACGGGTTTTTTGCAATGTTTGGGCAGCTGTAGATGTGCTCTGCTGCACTGCCTCCATCATGAGCCTCTGTGTGATCTCTGTTGACCGCTACATTGGAGTCAGTTACCCTCTGCGTTACCCAACTATAATGACAAAACGCAGGGCGCTGCTGGCAGTGATGCTGCTGTGGGTGCTGTCCGTCATCATATCTATTGGACCTCTGTTTGGCTGGAAAGAGCCACCACCTGAGGACGAGTCCATCTGCAAGATCACAGAGGAGCCAGGCTACGCTATCTTCTCTGCTGTGGGCTCCTTCTACCTCCCTCTGGCCATCATACTGGCCATGTACTGCCGGGTTTATGTGGTCGCACACAGAGAGAGCCAGGGCTTGAGGGAGGGCCACAAGACAGAGAAGTCAGATTCAGAGCGGGTGATACTCAGGATACACAGAGGCAACACAACTGTATCAGAGGACGAAGCCCTTCGCAGCCGCACACATTTCGCTCTGCGACTGCTCAAGTTCTCACGTGAGAAGAAGGCCGCCAAGACCTTGGGCATCGTGGTCGGCTGCTTTATCTTGTGCTGGCTGCCCTTTTTCCTGGTGCTACCTATCGGTGAGTATTATAATGTTTATCTTGTATGTGATTATTAATTTTGCAGCCAGATGATGTCCAAGACCTCTGTAGCATTTGTCTGAGCAAATCAATAATTGTGAATGAAATCAACTCAGTGCTATGTAAACCAGGGCTGCCCAAAGTGAAGCCTGTGCCCACCATAAGATACAATTTGGCCGGCCACATGTTTAGCTTAAAAAAATATTTAAAAAATCAAATTAAAAAAATTATAATATCATTTAGGCTACTGTTTAAATATATGGGTCCCTTATCAATTATTTTTCATATGAGCACAATGGGATGAGTGACACTACGCAGGAAATCAATCAATCAGCTCTTCCTAAGCCACGCCCCTTTTTGCTCTATGCTCCAATAACGCTACGCTTTTATCTTCTAAACATCTACAAAATTTGGTTGTCTTTCAATATATGGGCCTAGCGTAAAGTTGGCCGAAGCTTGCTCAACTGATACTGGGGCACAGAGCAAAGGGGGGAACTTAGGTCGGGGCAATTAAGGGAATGGGGGAAGAGGGAAGGGAAGGCAATGTTTGCTTTTGGCCCATGGCCCACCATTAAGTGCATTAAATTCCACCAATGGAAAAAGTTTTAGTGATGCACAGGATGGTTAATGACCTGCCTTTTAACTTTTTAATCAACAAGCTTTCACAACTTAAAAACAGGTCCATATATTTGATCACCTGCATTCACACATGTTAGTCAGACCACTTTTAGAAAGCCATTTAACTTGCATTAATTCATCTGAACGATCCATTCATCGATTGCCAGGTTTTTAAGTGCTTCAATAGTTTGATCATGTTAATTGAATTGCTCCTCAGTGGCAGCACACTGAAGTTACTATCATTCAGACGAGCCTAGTGGCCTCTCGAGCAGCGTAGTAAATGCTTTGACTCGGCCAGGTAGACACTCTATAAATAGGCTCTATAAATCTTTTAGATCTCCAACAGCCTTCGGTGCTTCCCCGTCTGTAAACAAAAGCACAGACTTTCAGACCAACGTATATTCCAAACACACATCCTTCAATGAAGTGTAAAGCCATTTCTCTCTCTGCTCCTTTCTCTCTCCCTTGTGTCCATGACTCGTTTAATCACAATGCCAGTCCAGGAATGACAGATAAAGCCATCACATCGGTGTCAGACCTCATGTTATGTTCCCTTAGAGAAACACTCAGCCTCATGATGGCAAGCTTGAAGGGAAATCACACGACTTGCCGACTATGCATGCACTACTGTACACGTGCTGGTGTCAGTGTGAGAAGGAAATCTGAACCAAGTAGATATGAGATATGGCAAAGCCCTCACAAATCCCCTCAGGGTTTTTTTTATTTATTCCATGCTCTCATGCTTGTAAATATAGCTGTTACCATTTGGCTGAAGGCCGTTCCTGACTGGGAAATGAGGAAAAGCCTCAGCTTACCAACGCTCCCTTACTAATGCTGGCGTCAGGCTGCATACCGCTGCCACATAAGTCTGTGGACAATGATAAATTTATCAGTGAATCATCAGGCAATGGTCTCATTTTGACATGTAGATCTGGATAACTTGTGATTGTTTGATTGTATTTATTGGAGTGAACATTATTTTGCCACCAATAAATTGTGGGAATTTGATCATGTCAAAAATCTGCTCATTGTTTCAGTTCTATTTATTTGGGGGATTTTTCTCCCTCCTTGACATTACGGAAGTCCTTCTGAGGGACTGTAAGGAAGTGTAAAGCAAGCCATTGTTAATTTAAAAGATAACTTCATTAACTGTGGCCTATAGTGGTTAACCATGAGGTCCAATGTCCCCGTTTTTGGTCCCCCTGGACCTGTTTCTTCCACTTTTCCCTCAAATTTCTGCTTTAGGAGGACATTTAGGAGGCTCCATTGGCAAAAGTTTAATATAATACTCAAATGTTTTCATTAGAGTATAATCACCTGGATAGAATACAATCCTTGAGTTTTCCTTACCTTAAAATTCAGCATTTTTATTCTCAGACACCTGGATTCAGCCATGTTGAACTGCCATGTTTAATAGCCCAGAAAAGACCAACACTGGTTGTAGATAGGGCCTTTTTTCGTTTCTGCGAGTTTTGCAGGTCGTCAAATACAGACGCCAGTGGTGTTCAGTTAGTTGCAATCGGAAACTTCCACTAATTTGTGCACACTGGTCCTTCAAACTGAGATTCTACTACACACTGTAGAAGGTTTAAAGAGTGTTTTTTTATACCAGGTTGTTTCAGTACCCCTTTCTGGTTGAACAGTTTAAGTCTGGGTGTGACGCACCTTGGAGTACACCTCTACATCACAGCAGAAGTTACACTCCAGCAGGATAACAAAAATAGGATTTTCAATGTGGTAAGCTTCTCTTTAAAGCTGCACTAATCAACATTTTTACATGGACAACTGATCAAATTACTTTGTGTAATGTGAAAGGGGTCAGTTCTACAGACGAATCCACAAATAATAATCACCCAACTCTGCAATTCTCAGCTCTATAATCTTTTTAGCATCTATCAGATTATTGTTTTGGTTTTGATTCACACTCACCAATCTCATAAACACTGTTTTCACCAAAAAGCTTTAAAAACCCACAGTAAGCAACATGTGTAGCACTAAACAGCTGACAGACAAAGTTAGCTGGCGATCATATTGGAACATTTAACTGCTAAATTATCTGAAATGTTTCTCAAGAAGTCTGCTTACATTTACAGAAATACTCCAGATTAATGCTAATGTTGCTCTGTGGCTGAAGGATGTGTCAATAGGCAACTGTTTGCTAATATGTCCACCACAACAACTTTATTAGTTGAGAATATGCTATCTCCATGTAATAATAACAATATGACTGAGTTAGTTACAAAGTGCTTTAAATAATGCATAAAACACAGCAATAAAAGAATAATATTAAAACAAACCAGATAAAGAATTAAAACTTCAAAACCTATAAACCATTATAAAAAACTGATTTAGATAAAATCAGGGAAGACAATGAAAGTACATTTTCAGTTTAGATTTGAAAGAAGTTGCTGACTCAGTCTGTTGTGTGTCCTCGGGCAGGATGTTCCAGAGCCTCTGGGCTCTTATTTCAAAAGCTCTGTCCTCCTCAGTCTTCAACTGAGAGTCTGGAACAGATAAAAAGACCCCTGCCAGAGGATCTCAAAGTCCAAGCAGGGTCGTACGGGGTTAAAAGATATAGCGCAATAGACTGAGGAGTCAGATCATAGGGTTTTCAGCTTGACCTGCCTCCCCCAAGTGGCCAAAAATGATTTAATTCTGCTTTAAAATCAATTTGCCTGAACTAGGTTCAAGGATATCTGTGACAGTGAAAGTCATGTTTCACTCATTGGTAGCTTTTGTATAGGTACAATGCTTGCTATTAATGTGGGCGAGAAATAACCCCCCTCTCCTCCCCCCCTTTCTTCCTTTCTTTCTTTCTTTCTTTCTGTCTTTTTATATCTCCCAACAAACGGCAACAGTTTGTCTCAAAAACGTATCTTATTTTCAGTCTGACCACCATTTTGCAGGTCATGCAACAGTTTTTGAAGGAGTTCATAAGCCAAAGTGTCGTCGAATTTTGCCAATCCGAAGCATGTTTTCATGCTTCATGGCAATTGGAAGTTTTCCCGTAACAACAGCCGGTGATGTTTCATTGATTTTGGACAACAATACATTTTTCAAACAGCTGCAGTACCCCTCTTTTTTCATTCAAAAAATGACTCCATCAAGGGTACCGGCAATAATAGAATTGTTCTTTTTGGCACAGCTGTGGATAAAATGTATGAGCTGCAGAGCCAGACACAAATAATTTGCTCTCAAACCCTCTCCATCTCTTTTTTTTCTATCCCCCCTCTATATCACGAGCTCATTTTTCGACAGCCCACGTTTAACTGTCTGCAAGAGCTCGCCCAATAAAGCATTTCACAAGACAGCTTCTCCCCCTGAAGATAGTTGATAGATAGATACTGCAGCCACCGGAGAAAGTCAGCCATTTAATTTTTTTAATGTTTCACTGGCAGTCACTGGATGTGTGAAGAGTCACCTGCATGTAATGTGCCTCTTAGGCTATTTTATCTGGGTCTTCATTAAGGATCCCACTCACGCTCACTGCTGCGAATGTTTCCTCTAATCAAAAGCAGCACTATTTATGACAGCAATTATAATAAAATACTTGACCTTGATGGCGAGCAGTGAGCTTTTTTATTAGTGGAAAGTGGATAAAACAATTAAAAATATATTGTCTCAAGTGGATGTAAATGAGAGCAATCATACGTTTCTCTCCGTAGATGCAGATCAGAGTCATTTTCAGATAAATACAACCTTTGCAACAGATGGAACAAGTGATGGAGTAATGGATGCAGCTCTAAACATGTATGCTAAATGATTTTAGCAATGCTGGCGGTTTGGATTGACATGAAATTCGTTGTATTCGTGTTTCTCAGAGGATGTTTCCTAAGCACTTATTTTCTAACACCAGCAGGATGTCACTTATTCTGTGAAACAAATTGACAGTTACTGGGTGGATTGACACAACATTTTGTACAGACATTCATGTTCCCCAGAAGTTCCAGTGACTTTGGCGATCCCTTGACTTTTACTCCAGCACCACCATTAGATTGACATTGGGGGTTTAGAGTTAAACATCTTGACAACTTTTGATTAGATTGCTGTTAAATTTGCTCCAGATACGCTAGAGGATGCCAAACTAATGACAGTCCCATCCAGACACCTGTAGTGTACTTTTGTTTCACTAATTAACAAGTGTTCACACGCACGCATGCCCACAGGCTAAACCAAAGGGAACCTGGAAAAAACTACCTGCAGAATCATCAGCATGTTAGCATTCTCAGCCTTGTTTCTTTATAACTGGATGACTTTCTTACTTGTAACTCCAAACAGCTCCCTAGTTTCCTTCCAAACCTTGCCCTTTTGAGGTTATCCTTATGTAAAGGGTTCTGTGTATAATTTAAGATTTTCATTTTCAACCTCATAAATTAGTCTCTTGCCATTTCTGGGAGAAAACAAACTTCTCTAATATGCACATATGGACTGCTGACTAGTTGCTGACAGGTTTGAGGTGAAACAAGTTTGCAAAAATACAACCAGAGCGGCACAGAGCAGGTTAGGACATCTTCATTAAGAAAAATTAAACAAGTTAGGACTAGTATGCAGAGGTGAGAAGTAATGAAGTACTTTGTTACCGTACTAAAGTAGTCTTTTCGGGTATCTGGACTTTAGTTTATCACAACTTTTTACTTTTACCACCAACATTTTTACACAAATATCTGCACTTTCTTCTCCTTGTATTTTAAAAACAGGCTTGTTACTTTAGTTTTAATGCGTTTGAAGGGAATTATTGATTTTTATTGCAAGTTTTTGCATCATTTCACGCCTTCCCAGCATCAAGACCAGTGCATATCACGCACGACAGAAGCAGCATTACAAAAACTATGTAACAAGACAAAGCAGACAAATGAGGAAGACTCAACCTAAAGTTTTAGTTAGCTCTGCACAGAAACAGCTCAAACCGAGACTTTATACTTTGAGCACATTTCAGAGCTTGTACTTTTTCACTTTTATTTGAGCAAAGAAGCTGAATCAGTAATTCGACTTTTACTGGAGTATTGTTTTACACACGTATCTGTATTTCCACTTGAGTAAAAAATATGTCTTACTTTTGCTACCTCTGCTAGTGTGGCAGTAGACTGTTTTCTAATAAATCAAGCTCATTACAGACAAGAAATCAAGAAGGTTTTGCCGTTCCTTCTGTTGTAATGTTACCCTTGTGTGTCTAATGTCTCTACAGGCTCCATATTCCCTGCTTACAGACCTTCAGACACTGTCTTCAAGATCACCTTCTGGCTCGGTTACTTCAACAGCTGCATCAACCCCATCATCTACCCTTGCTCCAACCAGGAGTTTAAAAAAGCTTTCCAGAGTTTACTCGGAGTTCACTGTCTAAGAATGACTCCAAGATCAAACCACCACCATCTGAATGCAGTTCAGAGTCAAACTCAGGGTCACAGCCAGCCCCTCAATCTGGGCCTGGACAGCAGGGGGGCTCCCTGTCGGCTCAGCCCTTCCTCCTCTATAGCCCTGTCCAGAACCCCTTCCTCTAGGGACAGCAGGGAGTGGAGAGTCTTTTCTGGAGACCCCACAGGCGGATCTGGACCAGCCGAGACGAGCAGGGCTAAAGTGGCCAAACTCTGCAGTAAACGCTTTCACCAAACCTGCTGCTGCTTCCTCAGAGGTGGGACTCCCCCGCAGGAGTCAAACTGCGCCCAACCTCCTCCTGTCGGAAACCTTCCCACCATTAAAATCCACCAACTGTCCCTGTCGGAAAAAGGAGAGCCTGTATAGCAACTATAATCCTTCATCCATTAGTCATGACTCCCCTTTCAAGGTCACAGATGAGAATATATTTCCATTTGCTCTGTTACCTTCAGGATTAACTGTGTTGGATTGGTGGTTGCTTCAAAATGTAAAAGTCTCTGCTTTCGTATGATTTTTCCTGGATTTTCAGATCGAAAGAGGTATTGCAGCCATTATATTTGATCCCTTTAAAGGTCCAGTGTGTAACATTTAGGAGGATCTATTGGCAGGAATTACATATAATATTCATAGGTATGTTTACATTAATGTATAATCACCTG